ATGGAAATTGAAAAAAAAACCCGCCCCAGGGGGGGGGGGGGGGGGGGTACGACACGACAATTAAGAAGAATATTTTTTTTTCTTAAAAATTGTAAATGCATAGAAGTTCTCTTATTCTGGATCCTGGGCATGTTTCTCTTAAAGCAAGCACATACCCTTAGCACAGGGTCCCTCCATGAGCTCATTACCTGCATTACCTGCATCTGCTGGCGTGGCAGTCATTCACAGCCATGGGGATTGTGTCTGCTGTCCAGTCTGAGTACTCTGTGATGATCCACTGGCTTTGGCTTTCTGTGAGTATCTTCCAGCACCTATTTCTGCCTGGGAAGCCAGGTGCCACGGTTATCAGCATCTCTGACTCTCCTAATGTTCATGTGGCACATAGATCCACAGCCTGGCAGAGACCACGTTTGTCATGCTAAGCACAAAGAGAAGCCACTGCAGGAGCAGTTTCTGTCTGGTTTCCTCCCCTGCCTGCTTTCACTTGTCCCTGGTAACTTTTCCTTTATGCAGCCATTCTCTGATCTTGCTGGGCAAGCCAGTCATTTGAAGGATTCCTTGGTGTTTGTGTACATGTCAAAGAATAAGGCATACATGATCCATGGATTAAAATGAAGCCTGGAATTAGCTCCAGGGAAGGGAAATGTTCTACCAACTGAAGCCACCCATCAATGGGCTACACAGGGACTAAAGAATTTCTCTGTGGAGAGTGAGCATCCTGGTCCTTCCTACTCACAAATTCTCAGGGCTGGGCTGGGTTGATGATGGCTTTGTCTATCCTGTGTCTCAGATATCACCCCTTAGTTTTAGAAAGGACATGATCCTCCTGTAGAGTGGGAGCAGATCATAACAAAGGGGCCAGGCCCTGGTCTTCAAGCAAAAAAAACCAAAAAAACAAAAAAACCACCTCACCTGAGTTCAATGGATGTTTCCAGAAAAATGAGTTGTCCCCTTAAGAAGGTTATAGATTTCTAGAATGGGGTCAGTTAACCTCCTTGTCATAGGAGGCCAATCTTGCAAATGTCTTGGTTTCTTCTTCCATCAGTGCATGGCTTTCTCCCTACCACAGTATGGAAAATGGCCTTGGAGATCCCCAGTGGCCACCAGAGAAGAGACGCCTGTCCCTGCAGATGGTCCTTTTATCTGCCATCTCCTTCTCAGGCCTCTTCACATTCCCTTCATTGGCTGTGATATGGAATTGAAATCTTTATTTCAATACAAATTTTCCTCGTGTGTGCCAGATGGCCACATCCCCAGCTCTGAATGAACAATTAGATAAATTAAAGCTACTGTGTAATCTTTCTCAACAAAAATCAACAAAGCTCCAAATTGAAAGTGTGTGCTGTTTTTCTTTTACTCCCTGGAAAAAGAACCTTCCTTGCAGCCCCCGTGGGGTCTATTTTGGTTTACCTCTCAGGACCTGCAGAAAAAAATGCTATCCGACCACTAGAGGGAGCAGTTCTTTTCATATAAACCATGCTCCCCCCAGAAAGAAACCAGGGGAACTTCACCCATCCATCTCGTTGCCTTGGAAGGGAACTCTCACAACCAGCCCAGCTGCTCCTTTGCTTTTCTTATCAGCCCAGGATTTCTGTGTTCTGTCTTCCCTCCTCGCTTTTAGTATGCATCTTCTATTTGCCCAGCACTCTCTTTAAAAACGCTTATACCCAACACCTTCTAGAGGGCTGGAAAATGGGAAACGCTGGCTTAATTTGTTGTGTGGTGTGGAGAACTCTAGACATTGCTAACATCTGTCTAAGACAGTCTCCTTGTTTTATTAATAGCTGTCTTAGAGTTGGCGTCCTGGTTTTCCTATACAAATATGAGGAACAAAATAAAAGGAGACTTCTGTCAGCCACACAGGTGGAGACCAGATTCTGATCCTTGCCAGATAAAACATTTAGATGTCTTAGAAGAAAAGTGGCCGATGTCCTCACCTTGGAGAGCCAACAGCTAGGGTAAGAAGAGCCTGGAAAGATTTATACATACATACATACATACATACATACATACATACATACATACATACATACAAATTAAAAGAAAACCCGGCTCTCAACAGTTCACTGGAAAATGGCTAAAGTCCTACCTGTGGATTAAAAGAATAACTGTATAGTTGAAAGTGATGGAAATGGAAGAATTTCAGCTAAGATCAAAGTGAGTCAACAAAATGGGGAGGAAGCATCAAACTATAAATGGCCCCTGGACCAGTGAGTTAGCTCAATAATCAGAGTGCTGAGGTGCTGAGCCCAAGACTCAAGACCCACATGCAAAAAGCTGGATGTGGTGCTACTCACTTGTAATCCCAGCATGGGATAGGCAGAGACAGTGCTCTCCTGGGGTTCACTAGATGACCAGCCCAATCTGCTTGGCAAGCTACAGGCCAGTGAGAGAGCCTATCTCAAAAAAACACATTATGGATAACACCTGAAGAACAACAGTCGATGTTGTCCTCTGACCTCCATGTGCAGACACATGTTTATATGTGTGTGAGCCATTCCACAAGCCACCAAGGCCACAGAAAAAACATGGGTGGGAATCAAGATATATGTGTCTGTAGGAAGACTACTGCTCACATATAACATTCAGGTAAGGTTTTCCTATCCTGACAAAGAGGACAGACTGTTAGAGACAGTTCAAGGGACATCTGATATGTCACATCTGCCAAAGAGACACCATGAGAACCCTGAGTGACACAGAACACACTTCTGCGAGCCAGAGTCTTCTATGGGTGCAGGGATACTGGAGACGGTAGCCCTCCTTAGAGATGGCAGCTGAGACAGGACAGGTGTGTCAGGATGTGGAAAGGGATCGGATATCTTTCTTGGCAACATGCTGTTCAAAGTCGTCTCCAAGTCCAGGATCTGGTGGCTCTCCAAGTGGCACAGCTCTGAGTGATACATCTGCTTAGACAGCAAGTGACTGCCCTTGTTCACCTCGTTCCTCCTTGTCACCTTTTAAAACCCATTCGTGCCCCTTCCTGTGAGCAGCGTGTGGCCTCACACGGCAGCCACTGGCAGCCTGGGCAGAGCCTGGCCTCCATATGTTTGCTTCACAAAGGAGCACACAGACATTCAGGCAGCTATCTTCCTGTCTAGGGTCATACACCCCCGTGGAGGCAGCCTTGACTAGCCTGGGCCACTCACCTCCAATCTCTTTTGTAAGAAAGCCTTGCCTTCCTGAGAGAGACCTTGCTGACAGAGTGTAACGCTCAACCCCAAACCATCCTTTATATCTCTGAATCCTCAGTCCATTGGGATGCCCACCGTGCTGTGGACAGTGGCCCCAAGAATGTGGAAAGTCCCCTTCTTCCCACCTCTTGAGATCCTGGCCTCAGTGAGAGAAAAATCCATTCCGTTACACCCACTAACTCCCCTCCTGCCCCCCAGCCCCCAACATCCACCCAACAGAAGGATATACTTTGCTATAACTTATTATTATGTTCGCTGTAAATACAAGATGTTTATAGGAAATGTGTATTCTGAACTGTGTCTGCAGAGTGGATCTCAACAGCAAAATCGTTCTGTTTATTTAGAATCCGTTCATTGTTAAAGGGACCTAATAGGTATTTATTTATATATGCCATCCACATCTTCATAAAACCATTTGATCATACTAATCCAGCTTCCTAGTACGTTGCTGCACCAGTGTCTTATTCTAAGTCATCCTTATAGTTGTTTAGTACAGTGATTGGCCAAACTTTAGGGGATTTAAGATCAAATGTAACTGACTCTACTTTTGACATATTCAGGGGTTTGCCCCCCCCCAGTATTGTGCCTGACTAAGACTGCCACCTTTCTGTCTTAAATATTCTATTTCCTCATATAATCTGCCCTCTCCTCATACCCAAACGCTTGGAGACGGGTAGGTCGCTTGTGTCTCTCATTCTTTCTCAGTGTGGCCCACTGTTATCGTCACCAGGCTCGTGGCTCATGAGTTCAGAGCTGTAGATATCTTGGACTGAGGTGGCTGAGAGAGGCTTTGGGACACATGGCAGCATCTCAGCTCTGATGGTGACTCCAGGGTCCGTGTTGGGGACCGCTGGGGTCAGGGCCTCGAGGCTGGGGAGTGAGAAGCCCACTGAGGACAACACCAATCCATGTCTCCTTTACAGTGTTAAATTATTATGGAAGGAGGAGGCAAGCAGAAGGTGAATTATATGAGCAAATATGGGCTGTTTTCAGCACTATTTTGTGTACAACTAATTTATTTTTATTGTAAAAATACAATAAACTGGGTAAATAGTTAACATATTTGTGTTCTTGTCTGCCTTAGTCATTATTCTGTTGCTGCAAAGAGACACCATGACCCAGGCAACTCTTACAAAGGAAAACATTTACTTGGGGGCTTCATTATCGTTTCAGAGGCTTAGTCCATTATCATCATGGTAAAGGGAGGATAGTGACATGCAGGGTGCTAGAGCAGTAGCTAAAAGCTTTATATCATGATCTGCAAGAAGAGAGAGGGGGAGGAAGGAGGGAGGGAAAGAAAGAGAGACTGGGCCTGCCGAAGCCCACCCTCAGTGACACACTTCCTCCAACAAAGCCACACCTATTCCGACAAGGCCACACCTCCTAATCCTTCTCAAACAGTGTCAGTCCCTGGTGACTAAGCATCCAAATGTATGAGTCTATGGGGTCCATTCTTATTCAAACCACCCTACTGCTTTATTGACACCTGTGTGGAATAATCCCAGAGAGATGAGTACATTGCTGCTGACCTCAGATAAAGAACTCAGAAGCCAGAACAATCCCACTCAAATCTAATTTGGTAATCCAATGAGATTAATGTAGAGCATGGGCAACCTGTGAGCTGAAGCCATTTTCTTCAGCTACACCACTGAAGAAAATGGCTCTGATCACCAGCAATAGCTGTATAT